CGTTGGCATATGACAACAAATGTATTGTGGTTGGAACACTATTGTTATACATTCTTCTAATTCTTGCCCCCCCCCCCAGTGGCACAGCGGCATGTCTGCGGACTTACAACGCTAGAAACCGGGTGGTTCGATACCCGTGGTGGGCAGAGCACAGATAGCCCACTGTGTAGCTTTGTGTGCTTAACTTCAAAAACAAAACAAACTAATTCTTGAAAATCCCGTGGAACTCGTTAAGAACTTTGTGTTTAAAAATGAAACGGGTCTTGTGACAAGTGTAACTGTGACCATAATTCGCGAGTTTATAAAAGGCACACCATAACAATTGTTTTTGTATCAAATGACTTTTATAAATAGTGTTCCGACCACTGCTATGTTTGTCGTATGCCAGCCGACCTGAAAAGCTGTGGTATGAGCGAAACGAATAATCGACACTGGGACATAACAAATGCAATATGGTTTGAATACTATTACTACAGACTCTTCTAAGGGCTAAAGGAGCTAGATACAGAATGTAGTGTTTAAAAATGTAATAGGCCTCATACTAATGTCTTATGACAAGTATAATAATAATCACTCTTCGACGCCCGGCACGGCCAGGAGATTAGGGCGCTCGACTCACAATTTGTGGGTTGTGGGTTCGAATCCCCGTGACACCAAACATGCTCAGCCGTGGAGGCGTTATAATGTTACGGTCAATCCCACTATTCGTTGGTCACGTCTGATAATAAATAAACATTAGAATAAAAAAAGTTTAATTATTCAATAATTTTTTGGCGTACCGCATGAATTAAAATTTTCTTTTTTATCTAAACTTTTGGGGAAAAGTTATGAAGATCTCCCCTCCCCCTAAAAAAATAAGCAAAACTTATTTGATTCTGTGAGTTTCTGACTTCCAATTTGAGGAAAACCCAAGAAACAGTGAACGTAAAGTTGGCTGCAATGACAACTCAAATATTCGTTTGTTTAGATACAGAAACAAATTACTTGAGTTCCACAATTACGTGAGGCACATTTTTTTATTTGCTTCGCTTTTCTAAGGAGTGCTAATGAGCCCTGAATCCTGCAAAACTAGTCTGTTGCAGCGGGAGTAGCAAAAAATAGATTAGGCCTATACGTCATCATTTCTTCCCTGCAATTCAATGTATATGCGAGGAAAATAAATTAACAAAACAAAACCAAAAAACAAAAACAACTCAAATATTTCTTTCTTGAGTGGAATGTGGGGGGGGGGGGATGGTAGTCTGAATATTGATTTAAAATGATACTTGTGAAAAAAAAAAATGATTATCTGGGTCTTGCACCGACCGAATCTCCAAGATTTAAAGTAATCCCTGAAAATCTCCAATAAATGTAAGCTCTTTGTTATGAAACATTTATAAGGGAAGAAATCGGTGTTTCAGGCTTAGGAATGGATTTCGCTATCTCTTTCTCCTTCCTATTGGTAATAAAAATATAAGTACCAATTAGCTCGTGTGCATTCGAATTACGAGGTTGGACCCATGCTTAGAAAGCTGCGTGGGGGTAGTACGTTATTTATTATGGGGGGGGGGATTAATGTTCAGGCTGTATCGTGAATAGCATTTTGCGTCAAGATATATTTTTAGCAGATGCATTAGAAATTATGAAAAGTCAGAATGCGAAGCAATAAGTGAATAAATGAGCGGGAAAAACATTCAATATTCTAGCGAAACACCAACAAATTTCAAATAATATTAAGCTGTGTTATCCCTCAATAAATCTAGAATTGTTAAAGACCCATCTAACTCTACAGATATAGATTTGCCCCCCCCCCCCCTCAGTGGCATAGTGGTATGTCTGTGGACTTTCAACGCTAGAAATCCGGGTTTCGATACCCGTGTAGGCAGAGCACAGATAGCCCATTGTGTAGCTTTGTGCTTAATTACAAACAAACAAACAAAGATATAGATTTATGATTTTAGAAAATTATAACAAAAATATTTCTTATGCATCAAATCACCTTATGGTGATTGTAAAATATATTCAGAACTACTAAGTAACCGACAACTGGATACCTATAAATTTATGTTGTTAGAAATTATTGTGTGGTTGTGTGTTTTTCTTATAGCAAAGCCACATCGGGCTATCTGCTGTGTCCACCGAGGGGATTCGAACTTCTGATTTTAGAGTTGTAAATCCTTAGACTTACCGCTGTCCCAGCGGGGGACAGAAAATTATTTCAAAGGATTTGTTATAAACATCAAATCATTTTTAAGATAGTCTAAAATATATCTAAGATCACAAAAGCACCAATCATCCCTTTTAATATATAGATATATATATGTTTAGAAAATAGTTACAACAATGTTTCTTATGCTTGTATTTTTGTAGTTAAACACAAAACAACATAATGGGCTATTGGTGCTGTGTTCACCATGAGTATCGTAACCCGATTTTTAGGGTTATAAGTCTTCCAACTTAATTTCTTATGCATCAACTTATCATAAGATCTTCTAAAGTCCAAGCTGTCCATGTATTAGGTACAATATATTTTAAATACAATGACCTCGTATACTATTGACCATAAGGGAAAAGATGTGTTATGCATGGCTGTGACCACTTACAATATTTCTTTAATACAACGATGTTATACATTATATCTTAAAGAAGACAATGTAATACACCAATACGACCAGCGAAACTGGTGGACACATTGGCTTACCTTTGACAATAACATAGATCTTGTTATTTTCACCTCTAGGCGTGGTGCAGCTATAGAAACCAGAGTCCTCCTCCTTAGCATAGTAGATGGACAATCGGTATTTCCAACTTCTTTCGTCAGTTGACAAGGACCACCCGCAAGGATACTGCCTGGAAAGTTACCAGGAAATTGAGGATAAAATGTCTTGGGTTCGTTCAATACTTCTTAAAGGAATAATTTATAAAAATGTCATTAAAACATTCACGAGTCAATGTAATCCTTATTTAGAGACCATAACTATGTTTATTACCTAGGCTCTCAAGAATTCTACTTGCTGGATATGTCTCTCAAACATTCACAAGTGATAAACGAAGTATAAGCTTCTTGGTGCTTGTGATGAACAAGTTAAAAATTCTAATGAGGAGGAAGAAAGATTAATCCTGAACAATTTCTAGCCAGCTCTAACATCCTGTTTTCCTTAAGGTTATCGACTAATCAGATACATCACGTTTACAACGTTCTCATTACATTCCGCATTGATTTTTCTTTCTTGTCGGCTTAACAAAGCACATCTCAGCTGTCATGGTTTTGGTTTTGTTGCTCAGCGAGAGAACTGATGGTTTGTACATGGGATAACTAAGATGCTGTTACTGATTGATTTAATTTGAAGAAAGGGTCTTTATGAGATTAAAATGAATCACAGCGAAAGCCAGCAGATATCCTGGTTGGATTTGAAAATTTAGGTCAGTTAGATCGAAGATTACCGAACAAAAACAAGAAACTAAAAGGAATAAAGGTAGACATTATTATTGTACAACGTGCAGAATGGATTCTCAGACAAGCGCCGATATTTTAGGCCTAACCAATAAAAACAGCTTATTTCTTATTCTTATAAAACAAAGTTCCCCTATGATCAAATATGAATTCCATAATGATTGGTAAAACATTTTGAAATTTTTTACTTTTCGATTCACTTCTTCTAGCCCCCCAGTGGCACAGCGATATGTCTGCGGACTTACAACGCTAGAATCCGCTAGAATTTTTACTTTTCGATTCACTTCTTCTAGCCCCCCAGTGGCACAGCGATATGTCTGCGGACTTACAACGCTAGAATCCGCTAGAATTTTTACTT